TATATATATTTTTTTTAATGGATGCAATGATGTCCATTTATATGCCTGTCTCCATTTCGTGACGAAATTGAAATGCCCGTCGACAAGTGTATAATAAAATAGAAAAGCATCGAAAACAGAAACGTGAGAGCTGGCTGGCTGGCTGGCTATCTGGCTGTCTGACCTGGTAAACGGGAGCATTAATCTGTCCCTTAGCGACTTTAAAGTGCGCTTCAAGTATAAATAACAAGTGCAGCTGGAGGAAGCTGAAGGCTGCCCGTCGAGCGTTGCTTGCATTTGAATAAACGGGAAATTGCAAAACTAATAATGATGCAAAGGGTCTCTTTAGCGAGGGCAGAACAATGAGTATGCATAGCGATTAGCTAGAATGCTTGAATTGAAATTATCAATGGAATGAAAATGAATTTCGACACAATAGGAAAATTGTCAGTTTAATAATTCGAAATATTTTAATTAATTCTAAAAATTCGTTAATGTGGGAAAATACATTCTCATATATAACTCAATCAGGCCAAGTTTATTATTAGCCCCCGCAGGCACTCGCTGCGCCTTGGCTGCGACTTTAGCAACTTTAGCGTGTAAGATTAACAAGAGGAACGACAACAATGGCCTCGCCATCGGCAGCATCAGCAGCATCGGCAGCATCAGCAGCATTGGCAGCATCATCAGCATAATCTGCATGCTCCATGTTGTTGCTGTCGTGTAGCTTTGAAAATTATTATTTGAAATTGCTGCATGCCAAACATTATTGATATATTTAAGCCGGAGCATAAATGACGGGCTCTGCAGCAGGCGACTTAAAGGAGATGCAAGTGTTGCACTCAGCACAAGATGATGGCTTTAAGGCTTAAGTGATTTATGCTCTTGTTCCAAAAACACACACACACACATATAAAGACAGATGTGTGCGTTTCAAATGGTGCTTGGTAATTGAATAACGCAGAGACTATGCAATTGCAATGCATAAATGTCCAACATGTCTAGCACCTGCCCACAAATACACATATACATATGTATATACATACATATATTGTATTGTTAAATTAAAATAATTGTTTTGAAAGAAATATTCTGCTCAAAATTTGATAAAATACCTGTCAAGTGGCATAAGTGCATTCTCATTCAAAACGCAAAATATATTTCAAAAGCAGCGCCAGCAGCAACAACAACAACAGCAACACCAAAGCTAACGGCAATACAGAGCCAAGAGCGTTTACACATATAGATTTTTCTCTCCCTCTCTCTCTTTCTCCCTCTCTCGTTCCCTCTCTATTTCTGTAGTTGCATTTGTATGCACTTACAATGAAGAATATTTAATGCCATAGTCAAATAGAAATTTATATGCAAGTCATAACGGTACATAGAGACACACACACACACACAGATGCCGCAACCGCACAACATTTTGCAGTTTTTACATTGCTCTTCCTCCGCTGCTGTTGAGCGCAAATTATATTTTCATAAATATTTGAAAGTTCTCTCGGAGCAAGAAGGTTTTCAGTTTTGACATTCGAGCATGGAATCCCCTGCTATCTGGTGTTAGCTGCTGCTGCTGCTGCTGTTGCTGCTGTTTCTTTGCCAGTCTATTGTACGCACACTCATAGCTCACAACGAGCACACACACACACACACAGACAGACGAGCCGAGCAAACATTTTAATATTTTTCACACATATGTAGAGATGCATTCATGAATTCGCCCTCTGGCGATTCAGGTGCTGCCGTTGTCGAATTGTGCGGCCGATTGAATGCCCATGTGTATGTGTGTGTGTGTATGTGAAATTTTGCAGTTATTTAGATGAAAAAAAAAAAAAAAATGTACTGATAGAGTGAGTCTGTGTGTGTGTGTGTGTAGTCACTGCCTGCTGTCTGTGGATACTCCTTTGGCTACCACGCGCACTCAATTGAATTTCATGGCAAATATTGATCTCGTAAACCAGTCTGTGCCCGTGGGCAGCCGAAGGTGTTGAGAGCACATTTTGTGCATTACTATTTACCATCAATGCGCACAAGCACATGAATGGAAAGCCAAACATAAATTTCCACACCAAATTAATATTCATGTTGCATGTACTCTAACAACCATTTTACTTGTCTGAAAAATAGAATGCTTTATCAAACTTCAAATTAGTTTACATATTTATGACATATTAATTGTTTGTATTATATTCTTTGACAGAGTCTGAGTTTTGCATTTGAGTATTTCCTATAAGTACTTCTTCTAAGTATTTCATATAAATATTTCTTTTAAGTATTTATTCTAAGTATTTCCTCAAAGGGTTTCTTCTTAGCATTTCCTCCAAGTATTTCCTACAAGTATTTCCTCCAAGTATTTCTTCTAATTATTTATAAATATAAATATTTCTTTTAAGTATTTCTTCTAAATATTTCTTTTATGTATTTCCTCAAAGGTTATCATCTAAGTATTTCCTCCAAGCTTTTCCTCTAAGCCTTTAATGCTTAGCTGTGTGGTCGTTCACACATTTCATTTCACTTCACTTTATTGCACTTACGACGGATCTCCATCAGGTCTGGGTTACTGAAGAAATGATGTAGCTGCAGCCCTTTATATAGGGCACCCTTCACTCAAAGCCTAAGTCGCTCTCAAATGTTGAGCCCGACGTCAGGTAAGGGTCGTTGCAGCCGATCCTTAAATGACCAATGGGAACACTCTCTGCTGCTTCGATTTACTTATATGTAAATATGAAATGAATACTGCTGCATACATATAAAGAACTTAAATGATCTTCTGTCAGAGAGACACCCGAAGAGACAGACTGCGAGATAGACAGAGAGGCATATGCCGACTAACAAACGACCAGACATGGAAAGTTAAATCGGATTACCTCATTTCGCTGCTCAGTTATATGCATACATATATGCTTGATATGGCTAAATATTGCATATTTAGCATAAATAACTAATAGCGGCTTCTTCTGTTCTATACTTTCCTGATTGAAAATTATGGAAATCAGTGCATCAGGTACTTCAAAACTGTCTTATGAATGTATGACTCGAGTTTGTCTCTTCAGGATAGTTATTATAGCTGCTTGTCAGCCTTTTTCTTGCTGAAGCTCTCTCAGGCCGGATCAGAATTCAGATTGCCTCTAGGTCAGTAAGGATGTTTGTGGCAGGGCCAGCTCTGGTTTATTGCATGTGTGCAGCGCTTTAAATGCTTTTTGGGTTGTTTCTCATTACCGGGGGCAAGTGCTGAGTGCAAGTGCAAAGCTCAGAAGAGTCGACGCTGACGCAGTTTATTTACTGTCGGCAGAACAAACGGCGGGCAGTTCATTGGCTGCGACAGTGCGCAATTTGTTCAATTGGCAGCTGGGGGCGGTGAGCGATGGGAGGCGGCTGCAGGCAGGCAGATGGAAAGTGGAAAGTGGGCGAATGGCGAATGGGGAATGGCACTTGCAGTGGGCCAAATGAGCGCAAGTAAATACAATTTACGGCCTTTTGTTGTTGCGGTGGGCCGCAAGTGTGCGAAACGCTGGCACAGTTCGTTCAACTGAGGCCCCACGAGGGGATGCGAGGGATGCGGGAAAGCAATTAAAGCCATTGCGGACACACACAAAATGTAAATTAAATTTAATAATTGATGGCGCATAAATGGGCGAGCACCGTCCACAGGCCACACTCACCTCTGCACAGACTCGCGCCAGCGGACATTCTCGTTGGCCAGTCCATTGACCAGCCTGTGGGCCAGATCGATGGTAAAGGACGTCTTGTCCGCCTCCCGTTGGCACTTTTGCTTTTCGGCGACAGCGTGCTCGAACTCCGCCTGAATGTCGGCCAGCTTGTCCTCCAAGTTGTTGATTTTCGTCTTGAGGTACTGCAGTCGCTCGCGCGCCTCGAGCAGCTCCTGCTGGGCATCCTGCAGGGCCTGCTGCTTGGGGCCAACGATGAGAAAGACCTGATGATAGCGATGCAGATTGATGACCCATGCACAGAGCCCAGCAGCTGCCACAGACTTTTGCACAACTTTGTCTGGATTAAACTCGGGATCCTACGAAAGAAAAACAATTTTCGATGTCAGTGAGATGCGAAATGGCAGCTCCCATCTCTGCCCTTTTACCTTTAGGTATTCCTGCAGGGTTTCGATTATATTCGGATGTATGTTGTCCTTGTTGTAGTTGAGCAGGTCGCTGAGAAACTGATCCACACGCACCATCATCAGCTTGGCTGCCTTCCAGCTGCGATCGCGCGGTATCTTGCCATTCGTGGCCAGCAGCACCATGACAGCAGAACAGACGTTGATCACGCCCTTGGGCGGCGATCCGAAGGACTTGAGCTCGGTCAGGTTGTTCTTGTTCAGGGTGTTGAGCGCCGCCTGTGCGGCCACTAGAGCTGGCTCAGCCTGTCGCAGATCCTGCTCACAGAGCTTGGTCTTGATGGAGACATCCTCCTCGATGATGCGAACGCGTTTCTCCTCCTCTGAGGCTATGAAGCGTTCACGTTTCACCTTCTCGCTCTCGGCGCTGACAATGACGATCAGCTTGTCGGCCGCAGCATTCTTGGCCGCCAGCTGAACTTCTTGTATGGCCAGTTGGTGCTGCAAGAAAAGTTCTTTCTAAGTCAAACGAAAAACTCTGAGAAACTTTAAAAGTTTGGTGGCCAACGAAACGAAATTAATTAAAGCTCTGGCACGCTGGTCCAATATTGACACGGGGCAACTTTATCGCACAAATTGTAGAAGGCACTTGAATAAGCACATGTGCATTACCTCCTCTCCACATAGGAATACATGTATTCCATGCTCTGAAAACTGAAGCTGACGTCTGTTCGTCGGCACAATTGAATTTCATTTAATTCAATTTGTTTAAATAACATTATGGATGTGTTTTTTGTTCCTCTGAGTGAGCAGTTTTTGTTTGGCGCTCGAAAGTATGCTACAAAATAAATGCGATTGACGCGGCGCCATTGCCAGCCATCGGCAGCCATTGGCAGCGTAACCGGAAACGGCTCCTGCAATGCAAAGGGTATCGTCATCGACACTTCACCGGCTCTCCACTCCACCTAGACACCATTGTGGCCCACTTTGCCATGGGCTATGCACAGCAGATTTGCTGTAACAACAATTCAATTAAGCGTACTAATTGAATGACAGACTCGACACGAAGCGACGCGACGCGACGCGACGGTTCGAATATCGCAGAGACAATGGCAAAAAAAAAAAAAAAAAAAAAAAAAAAAAAAAAAAAA